TGACATCAACTTTTTCTTTATCCTTAAAGGTTTAAGTTATCTAAACATCAGAGTGTTAATAATCTCCAATCAACACTGTATAAATATCACTGTGCCCAAATAATATAATGTACTATTTGTGTTGTATAATAAAACAATTTAAAAAGGAAAAAAAAAAAGAAGCCTTTCAGTAGTATCACCTGTGCCTCTTGTCATTCTTTTTTTCTCTCTCCCACTTTGTTTTTGCTTTTGCAATTTGGATTATGTGTTGCTTTAATCCTATTGCCACTTTTATTGTGAGGTTGTAACTGACAAAAGTCTTGAGACTGAGGTGGGATAAAAATCAAATAAATAAATAATCATGCTGAGAAAAGCTATTTGACTTCCTTGTGTACATTATCAACACTACGGATGTTTAATGTTGGAGAAAAAAACTGAACAAGCATAAAGTCACAAAAATGTCTTTTTGTCCCCCTTCAGATAAACTTTGTTGAAGAAAGTAAAGTGGTCCCTTTAGGTATTGGCTAATAGCTGTCAACAGAGGCAGCAGATACCAAACTCAGCTCAAGAAATAAGGCCTAAAGTGACTCTAGCCAAATTGATATCTTGTTATGAATTCTGACTAACCTGTGTGGCTTGCAGCAACCATCTTAGTCTGGGAACAAAGAAGGCCAATCAAAGCTCTTTTGGAACTCAATGCAGAAAATCCAGTGCATACCCCTCCCTCTTCAGCCATACAAACAATCAATTAGGAAAATAACAATTTATTGCCCTGGCACGACACCTGAAACCCGAGAAGTCATCTTTTACTTCTGGTTCCTTAAGCGCTAGTCCTGACACAGCCCAAGCCAGTCTGAGAGTGTGAAGAAGAGACAGAAATGTGTCCCCTTTCTCCATTTATTGATATTATATCTTCTGAAACTATACCTTTGTTTTCAACAAATTGTAAAAAAGAAAGGGGTAGGAAGGCCGCTGCTGCACTCAACAAAATGATTGCACAAGCTCAAAGCAAATGAAACAGATAGCTTGTACACTGGGGTTTCTCAGCTTTGGCAGCTTGAAGATGTGTGGACTTCAACTCCCAGAATTCAGCCTTGGCAGCTTGAAGATGTGTGGACTTCAACTCCCAGAATTCCCTAGCCAGAGAAATGCTGCTGTACACTGTAGTGAGACGCATCCGTTGTAACTGCCATCAGCACATGTGGTGCTTATCACATCCTACCCAAGGAGAACTGGAAGCTAGTTTGCTGCTGGCAAGAACAGATGCAAATCTAATCGATTATAGGGAAGCTTAAAAAACATAGCCACTGAGAGACACCCCTGATATGGCGATGTTATCAAAATGTGTATTTCTACTTGATATCAGTCTCAAGACAATGTAGAAAGACTATTTTGCAGCTTAGTTGATCTCACAAAAGCCTTTTCAGATCTGAGCAATATATAAATTGCAGTATTAAAAATAAGTAAGGTTGCAGCTCTACCTTACAAGGCAAACCTCTGCATGCCACAGACAATTATTAAGCATGTCTCAAGAGAATTCCAACCAGGAAGAACTTTATATTATACATCCACTGAAGCTAGTAACAAATCATTTTTAAAGGACATAAAAGGTAGGATATCTTATTTAGGAATATAAGAGATGATAGATACAGTAGATATACACATTCATAGCCTTGATGTTGCCTTTAGTCAAATAATTTTTAAAGCATGACAAAAGCCAACTTTATTTATATATTTATTGTTTACATTACATCTTTGCTCCTCAAGCAGACATATATGCCAAGTTCCAAAGAGCATGCTGACTGGCACTTCTTTTCTCCCTCTTCCATAATTCAAGAGCAGTCTGTTTTTAAGTACTTATTTAAATATTTCTTTATGCTTCCTTAAATGTGTATTTACATATGCTGTGAACTGAAGTGAACATGGCTACATGATTGGATAGCTCTTGTGTCAATTTCCTTGGCATTCAGACCTGATGGATAAAGGAGAAGGAAACACAGCCCTTGGCCAACTAGCACTGCAAGTTGGATAAACATGTTTTCCATGGTGAGAAGATAGTAATGGTGCCTAAAATACAGGCACATAGGTTATTAATAAACCACGTACATTTCTAATGGGAAGCAAATGCTTTCAGGCTTTCAGAAACCCTGGCTTTGCTCCTCTTTTAACTGACCGCAGTGGAGAGTGGGATAGATTTTGCCATGAGATGCACATTTTGGACCCAGAGAAGAGAGAGCCTTTGTATCAAAGAAACAGAAACAAATAGAGGCCACAAATTGCTAGATGATCTTGGCATAGGGCAGGAATAAGGTCATTTTTGGTGAACAGAGCAGGGCTGTCACAGGCACAGGGACCTCCATCCCATCCTAACATAATTAGCCAGACACATTTTTTTGTCCATTTTTGCACTTACCCAATCTTAAAAGTATGCTGGACACCTCTGCTAACTTGCCAACTGGAACAGGTGAACTGTGCTCAGGCTTATTCCAGCCAATTCCAGCCCGAATGAGCCTGGAGTGAATGTAGTCCCTGCAGAGTACCTTGGCTTGAGATACAAGCTCCTTATCAGTGGGAGTCCGGTCAAACACTTCCATCACCTCTGCAGCAAAGACAGAAGAACGACGGAGCACTTCCATCCTCATCACCGATCTCCAAACATGCTGGGTGGAGTCATCCTCAGGATTTCCTTAGTGGGACACTTGGAGAGGAATCTACAACTAGAGAATGTGTTTGTGGAATCCTGCTTCACTGCAATTTTCAGCAGAGATGCTTGTTGGAGATGCCTGATTGACAAATGAACAAGAAGAAATCATCCATCTGTAATCAATAGCTATTCATGTTAGCTTCCTGGTTAAGGATATTTTATGCTGGAACCAATGTGCAGCATTATCTGATGCCTGGTTGTTCAAAGTAGCTTTCCCTAACTTGATGCCTTCCAGATGCATTAGCATTATAACTCCCAGAATTCCAAGACAGCATTAGGAAGGAACCAGATCAAGGAAGGCTGATTCAAATTAAGTTGTTTTCCAGTGGAGCTTACACACAGATTAATGTGCTCATAGTTGCAATTTCACTAGCACTTGAAAACATGGAAATAAACACTTCTGAACACAAATCACACTGCGGACTTCAGGATCTCTGCAAAAACAATGGGAGATGCAAACCCACATTTTTAGAAACTTAATTTTCTGAAGGGTGTTTCCAGACAAGGCTTTTATTATAAATCACTTGCCTTTGAGATGGAATTTTTACAGGAGGCCCAAAATACAATATTTTCATTTTGCTACCATCCTATATTTTTTCATTTCAATTGCCTTTTGTTTAAAGAAAAACAAGAAACAAATCCATTAAGACAGAAAAACTGCACAGTGCCTTTTGAGTGACGGAACAAGGCACATGAGTCTGGAAGGAACCTCACCCACCCTCTTAAAAATCAGCAGTTATAAAAACAAATTAATGGAATCTGGAAATAACATTTGAAAGCATCTTGTTTTCTGCAAAGTAGGACAACATATAGACAGGCAAACACCAGTATTCAGTGGCAATGCCATCAAAAGAAATGGGCATGCCATATTAGATCATTCACTAGAGCAAAAAATTTAGGAACAACAGTTTCTTCACCCAAGAGAATTCGTTTCTATCAATTTCATGTTTACGGGGACAGAAAACACCCAAGCCTTTTTGTCTAATTCTTGATCTCCATCTAAAATAAGATAACATGGCTACGTGACACTGTATCTCAATTCTGCAAGAATGTAAGTTTCCTCAACTTTCATTTCTACTAACTTCATGTTTTAACACACCCCAAATATTCCTTGTAGTTAGAAGATAATCTTGTTAATGGCCTTGAAAATTTAATGCAGGGACCAAGAGATACTATACAGGTTTCTTGCGGGACATAGAAAACATTGGAATTTTGCCAATGTAGCAAAACCTGACCTTTTCAGCCAATCTGTCATAGAAAAAATGGTTTTTAATCAATATTAAGAGAAAGAGGTACAACCCGAGTATACAAGAAATGTCCTCAAACACACATGCACCTAAACTGAGAGTCATAACAGCATCAAATGCCACTGTATACTGATTTCTGCAGGGACTACATGTGGCCAAAATACATAAGTTTCTCCTTGGAACATGCCGCAGGGAGTTAGAAACCTACTGAGGGATTAGACACTGTTGCTATATTCGCACATCATACAGAAACACAAATTAGCCAACCATATTTTAGCCTAGCCTGTCCTGCAAACCCAGAACCATGAGAGGTTATCCATGGTCTGCTGTGCCATGCAAACCTAGAAAATCAAATTAACTGATAAACCATAATATAACACAAATATGGCTGTTTTACAAAACAGCTTCTGACAGGGCACTGTTAGTCTTACCCAATCTGCTCTAAATCAATAAAAAAAACAATAGCAAGGTCCATCCATAAAATTTCCCAGCGATGTACCTTTCCAAGGCATTTCCACTCCACAGTGGTTTGCAGCGCAGAGGATTCCTTACGTGCTCTGCTGTAGTTAGGGAGAGTTCCTTGATTCGCCCTGCTGGGACCAGGCTGGGCAGAGATCCCAAGGATTCTTGGTTATTGAAATCCCACAGAAACGCCTAGTTCCTCCAGGAAACTTTGAGCCGTTGTTCTTTCTGCCTCCACGAAGCTTCAGAGATACCAGCACCCGCTCGATTCGCTCCGAGGGAAAAGACCTTCTTGCTATAGCCTTGTAAGGCAAGTGAATTAGCCAGGAGGAGGAGGAGCTAGAAAGAATCCGCCCGCCCCTTTCTCCTGCCTCTTAAGGAGGCACCGGGAAGCTGCTCAGATAAGGGCTGACAGCTGCTTTGTACTTGCGAGCCGGTTCCTGGGTCTACAGCGCTGCCCCATTCAAACTGAGAACAGCTCCTTTAGCGTGCTAAGCCACAATGTGGTTTCTTTCGGTTTTGGCTCAGCTTTTATGAATTCATCCAATATAGGCTGTAACACTGACTTCTGCTGTGGGGAACCCAGGCAACTGTGGTTTATTAAGTAAGCCGTATTGAAGCAACTTAGCATATTGACCAAGCATCTCCCAAATAAAGCACTCTTGAAGATGTATCTTTAGACATAAAGGTGAGTGCTATACACTTCCAAGCAGGGCTTCTTAAGCTGGGGGCTGTAGCTAGATTTTGCTAATCAGAATTGGTTTGCTTTGTAGCCTGTGTATTTTATTTTACATATTTAAACACATTTTTTTTCTGAGGAGGAATCCATAGGTCTCACCATACTCTTAGGGAGTCTATGGTCCCAAGGGGGTTGTGTTTTAGAGCAAAGTCTTTATCATTCCTCAAAGGATTGCTGAGTAGTTCTTTGACACTGCCTAGTGACCCATCCTCTCCTCTCATAATTCATTGTGGAGCAGGAGTTATTTCTTCTGCCATCTAAGACCTATTTAGCTGTGCCACTTCTACATCAATTACATCAGCCAATCACTCAAGGCTTGAGCTGCTAGCTCAGCTGTTCCTCTGCTCTTCTCAGTTGTTGGGCTCAGACATTGGACTGAGCCATAACATTTGGTCTCGCTTACTGTGTTGCGTGAACAAGCTATTCATGTTTTAGGTTCAGCATGTTTGTGAACCAACCACTTATTATGTATTCAACTAACATTAATTGGCCCCTGAAGTCCTGAAAGATGTTCACTGCCTATGCCTAATAAGGCAAAGCTTTTTTTCCGTGACATCATTTTCATTGTGAATATATTAAGGTTGTTGTACAGTAGCCATGAACATTCAGCTGGCATTTATCCCTTAATCATTTGTAGTGCAATGGTTGACACTTCCTTCACCCCTTTTTTATCCCATGTAACCTCACCATTTTCCAAAAAGCACTGCACAGCTTCGGCATTAGGGGTTTCATCCCTGTATCTTTCAAATGGTAAACTGAGTCCTGGTCCTCACTTGCTGCCATCAAAGCCAGTAATTCAAACATATCTCAGAGGAAGGCTGCATTCCCATTTCAAGCAGGCTTTGAGAGAAAATGGCATTTTGCGGTTATTGGCTTCCACTGCCATGTGGACTAGTCAGATAGGCTGAGAAGCTCCTTATCATTAAATGTTGTATAGACTTTGATAGAACCATTCTCCTTTCCTTCAGGGGCTGATAGAGAAAAGCAGGATGAGTGTTGTGGGTTTGTTCATGTGTTTATTTCCTAGCTGCCCTTGGGAAAGACAGACTAACTGCAACTAGCAGTTATCTCAGCCACTAATAAAGTCCATTCTGAGTGACTAAGTTCATACATTATTATAAGCCATAGTCTGTTTTAATCATGGATTCCTGGATAACTTGTAACTGGGTTCACATAATGCACTAAGATATAAGCCACAATAGTTGGGTTCACAGAAGATACTGTGTCAATACTAAATAAATCTTGTGACTTACCAGAAGCATCTTACTCATATTGACATTGCCTTCCTCATTTCATCCTTAGACTGTAACTATAGTTTGAAAGCATCCTCTTTTGTTTCTTCTCTGCCCTGTTTTTTCTGGGTTTATCATGATGCCTGATAAACATTGTAAAACTTACTAGAAGAGATGGACACACACTGTAAAGAATAAAGATTGGGTAAATTTATAAAATCCATCTCTGACATTAACTAGAGCGTGACTACTTATCATGGGCCACGATGTGTCTATACCTATAAAGAACAGATTTCCCCTGTGATACTCTATGGAAGCAAACGTTTGAAGAAGTAAAACAGAAAGAGCATTGATGCTTTTGAACTTTGGTGTTAGAGAAGACTTCTGAAAAAAACTGGATAGACAAGAAAGCAAATGGATCATCAATTCAAAGTTCTCACTTGAGGGACAAATGGCCAGGCTCAAATTTGGATACATTATGTAAAGACCTAGCTCTCTAGACAAGTCTATAATGCTGGGAAAGGTGGAGGAAAAAGAAGAAGAGGATGACTAGCAGGAAGGTGGATGGACTCAATTACAGTGGCAATTGAAGGACCTGAAGGACCAAGTCGGAGACAGATTATCCTGGAGAAAAGCTATGTGGTCACTACAAGGTGACACCAATTTGGTGACACACAATCTTTCATCATGGAGAGGATAAATGGGAAGGGATACTATAGAATCCACTTTCCCTAGGGGATTCTTATCAGAAAAGATTGCTTCTTTTTTAAAAACAATCTGCATGAAATGCATAGGAATGAAGGAATTATGGTTCAAGCTTGTTCAGACTTACATATAAAAACCTGGATGAAAAATAAAGTCAGTATACAAGACAACATCTGAATCTGCAAGAACAATGTTATTGGTCACAAAACCCAAAACCTTTTTTTTATCACCTCCTACTCCTCCCTTGCTTAAGACATCTGTGCCTCATGCTCACATTATAGTTTCAGCATATAATAAATGCACTGTGTTACTTATGTGATTACTGTGCAGCAATTATATTTTGGAAATCTACCATCAGTATGGAGTGTCACACACTTTATAGCTCCAGCATTTTCTATGGTGACATCTAATACTTTCATACCTGATTTACAGCAGTTCAAGAGAGGCAATAAACTCAATGGCAGAATAGCTTAATCAGTGTTGAATTATATAGTGCCAATTTCAAAGCTACTAATGTACGGCTAAACATATTTTGTGCAATATCAAAGATGTACAGTATGAATGTTTATGGAGCTGGCATATGGGACCAAATGAGGAAGAAAATAAAAATGAAAGTTTCTCTTCTCTTCTCAACATTAGTACAATACTAAAGTACTGATTACTTGATTAGTCTAAGGTATTGATTAACTGACTGCTTGGAAATTGGTGCTTTGGAATGTGCAAGATTATATAAAGAACAGCATCTCTGCTAATTGTGAAAGCAGCTGTGTCTTTTTCCATTTTCCACTGAAGCAAAGAGGTTCTGCATGTACACAAATGCAGAAAAGATGGAAGCAGCTTCCAACTACCTACAGAAGTCCCCCTCCCCCCCAAAACAGATATGTCTGTTTCAACAACTCAAAGAAGTGTTTGGTACATGCTCATATGCATCTTAAGTGCTTTGAAGGATCTGTACACACCTAAGACAAATGATAAATAGACTGATTTACATCTATTACATGGTTGTGTAAAACAAGCACATGGACACGGATGGACATATTTCATTCTAATGCAAATTGGTGCCACACACCTAGCAAAAGAAACTTTAAGGTAGGAAGAATATACTGTTATAGGTCAGAGTGACTGCAGAAACTTTCAAGGATTACATCTGGGTAGATGAGGAATGGTGGCACCCATGAACAGAAGCTCAGTAGATAGGAATGCAAGATAAGTTTTACAACTGAAACATTATATTCAAATCTGTTAGACTTCAAAATGGAAACTATATGGATTACAAATAAAGGAATTGTTTCTGAATTTTCACTGAAAAGGGGATGAGTATAGGGAGGGATTTACTTAATCAAGGACACAGTAAGTACTGAGCAGGAATATCAAGGATCCAGCCCACTTCATTTCTTGCTTTCTAAAACAATCTAAATATATCAAATTGACAAAGATAATTGTCTCTTTCTAATCTATAGAGGAAGGGAGAGCCACAATAGAAACCTGCCTATTATAAAATGTCTTAGAGAAGGATAATTCCTATGGCTACTGAACACAGTATGGTAACTAATCTTATCGTGTAATGTTGAGTTGAACTATTCCCCATAAGACTGGTAGGAATTCACAGCCTGAGGGAGAAAGTTGGCCACCCACATAGTATGGCCCTTAACCACTTACAACCACTCTAGGATTCCTAGGAATATGACTAGATCAGATGAATCAGCTGCTTCTCAGAACAATTTCTCCTACCACCTCTTAAAGGTACAGAGGCACTTTGATGTATAATATGTATATGTAAAGATATATTAAATCATAAAGTGGCAAAACATGGCAAGGAATAATGATTTCTACGCTTCTTTTCTGATTGAAAAACCAGATGATAGTGATTACGGTTTTTCTACAATACCGTATATCTTCTTACATTTCATGTTAGTACTATATAAGGGGATATATTATATTATATATAATGTATCTTGCATTAGACAGAGTTGAAATCACAAAATAAATTCAATAAATATGATCTTTCATTTGTATGCCTTGCATCATATATCAAGGGATAGCAGGATTAGCATTTGCATTTGCGTTAGCAATGTGGGCTATGGGGGTAACTGACTACATCGCTCAAACACCGTTGTTTACCTAGTTGCATCAGGCATCAGGACAAAAGCAGGTATGTGCAGCATTTGCTTAATGTCACCAGGCGTGTCATCATTTTGCATCATCATCATGGTTTGCTGCTGATGCCACTGAGCGTTAGCTTGTTTCAACAAAAACAACAAAGAGATTGGTAGCATTTCAAAGACAACACATTTATTGTAGCATACATTTTTGGGAAGTATAAAGGCATGTGTCCTTAGATGCATGAGGTCCATGTTAAGGAATAAATGGTCTCTGGAGCAGAAGCAAGTTTAGAAGGCGGCTCAATGCATATTTATTTTTCAGGGTTTTTAATGGTGCTGCTATTGCTTTAGCTTTTTATATCTGTTATATTTTAATTGTTGGAGGTTGAAGCTTTTGTGTGTGCATGTGAGTGTGTGAGTGTTCTTGAGAGTGGGAGTCTGACCTGAGCAATGATTGGTAAAACAGGTTTTATAACTGTAACAGAAAGGATATTTATTTATAGGAAATGAATTATAGGAACA